TTTTTTCCACTTTCTACAGCCAGCTATATGATTTTCTATCGCCCTCTTCAGTCGGCTATAAGAACTCCTATGGTATTTTGAAACGCAGCTACTATCGCCAATTTTTACCAGGGAGTTCGTGAATCTCACGATATGTTGACGATTCCTCAATCCTTACCCCTCAGAGAGTCAATGTAATGAATTTCTCATCATAAGCGTATTTCCGTTGATGATCGGTCGAGCCAAAATGTCGCGGCAATGGCGGCGGGATCATAATCGGGTTTGTAAACAAACTTCCGAAATTGATGCTGGTCGGATACCATCATCTTCATCAGGTCATTTCTAAACCCTACTTTTTGTAGGATTATATTTTGGCTCCAACGTTTGCAAGAATTCCACCCTCTATCTGTCTGGTGAATCACGATGTTGTTCCGAAAAATTATGATCGCGTCAAAACAAAATACGGAACCGCTTGATCCACCCATTTTGGTTCGACCGATCATCAACGAAAATACACTTCATCAATGCGAGAACGAAACGATCCTAATGCTGCTGGGCTGAGGAAGAACGCCGTATGAACATTCGAGCGTTGCCAAATGTCCTACGATGAAGTAATAATTTTTGATTAAAGTTACGGACAATTTTTCCATGTAAATTTCAGGAATTTTTAGGTGAAATTGCAAAAATAATTATCTGAGAAATTGGAAGAAAAACATACCTAAGTTCACCAGGAAATTCTGGTTTTATCAAAGGAAATTTGGCAACGCTTGAAAGTTCATACGGCGTTCTTCCTTGGCACGGCAGAATGGCACGGTGAAATTTCCGAAGCACCGCACTCGGTTTGCGACGTCACATGCATCCTGTAATACCTACCTACTTCATTTTCTTGATGGAAAACTGTTCAAGAAATTCTTAAAATTTGCCCCAATTTTTAATCTCTCCGCAAAGAAAATTCTGTGAAAAGTTCAAAGATGATGTTGATTTTTTCTCCTTTAAAAATGAGAGCGGAGATTCTAAACCAGCGCAAACGAGGTGGGTGCGTGCAAGAAGTTTAATTGTCGACATCTTTCACGTTAAAATTTACTTCAGGGAAATTTCCTCGTAGGTAGGTATAGGTAATACTTAATGCTCAGAATGTAAAATGTATGGGTATTTCCTGCAATACCAGGGTAACATCCGAAAAAGACGTGTTTCGTATTGAACGAGCTCGGTCAGTAGTCACCGGTGCTTCTATTTGAAACGGTCCATTCACAGTTCTGCCTCCGCGGAACAGCTTACGTACTAGATTTGCCTTCAACCGACAAGATAGGCAAAATAGGATCCTCCGGAGCCGCAATAGTTGCATTCACGGGTTCGGAAGGCATCCACGAGTTCTTTGACTTCCACTGTATTCTCAGCTTCAGCTCGCTGTGATAGGTACCTACCTACTTCTGGCTTTAATTTGAAACTCTACTTTTTCCCACTTCAAGTTACTTCAATGGCTGAAAAGTACTTCTGAGGGCAATCATTCTGCTTCTTGCACAAAATTGAAGAAAACCATTGATTTGATAAAATTACATTTGAAACTTGGGTGTGTGTGTTTAAATCTGATTAATGGTCTATATATATATGACTAAAAATGTGATGAATGTGTAGGTATCACTTGGATATAGGTAAACAACTTCGAAGCAAATATAGATGGTGAGACTGTCTGACCATGTACCTATTGTATCCATCTCTGTTAAAAATATTGCAGATTTCCTGGCAAACTTTAGGTACTTTTTTAAAAGGTGACTGGACAAATTGTACCGGGAGTCCGGCTAGCTAAATCAGACGCTGCTTATTTTTTTTTTAATACTTCTTAATTTTTCTTTCATTTATTTATTTTAAACAGAAAACGAGGTGACACTGAGGCTTGAAATTTTATGAGAATTTTCTTCATAATCTAGGGTAAATCCACAGAAACTTTAGAAAAGGCGTTTCGCAGTCAAGTTCGCTGTTTAAAATTGTAAGTACGTGCGAGAAAAATAAGCAACAAGAAAATCAGTTAGACTGATTTCGGTTGTATCCGCCAGATTGATCATGTTAAAGACAAAATTATGATAGATTTTATTTGGCTTTTGAGGGCAATTCTTCATAATGCTATGCAAAAATGCCCAGTCATTTTCTTTCAAAAAAAGAAGAAAGGGCTGTCATAAACACAATACCTAAGTACCTAGCAATGATCGCGATTTGATCGGAGAATGTATCGCAATTTCATCGACGTCAATTTATTGTAATACTATCGGATGAAAAATTGCAATAAATTGCGATTTCATCATATAAATTTGCAATAAAATCACGATTTTATCGACGGCGATTTATCGCAATGTCATCGAAAATTCGTAATAAATTGAAATGAAATTTCGATTTTAAAGAGATAAAAATAAAATTGCGACAAGATCGAAGATAAGCATTCAGATGTTGATGATCCTAGCGATTTTAGCGCCAAAAAATAGTGATGAAATTGCAACTTAATTTCAGAATATCGCGATTTTTTCGTTTGAAAAATACTACTTGGGTACTGAAAGCAAGATCCCTATTTTTCCACTGCTTCCGTTAATATACGATTTTACTTCTATTACTTAGGAGGAAAGACGCGATGATTATAGTGTTTGCGTTAATAAATGCAATCTAGGGACGAATCTTTAATTATCGTAATTTCAGTGCATGACCTGCAATAGCGTCTGTTAGAGTAGAGACGGACCAAAAATGAGAAAGTAATTTTGTGCTGACAGAAAATATAGACATACTAATGGGGCTTGAGGAGATTTTGAGTACACTCTCAGTTTGAGAGATTTAAAATTCTAAAAAAAAGAAAGAAAAAAAAGGAACAGATTTTGAATTCATAAACCGTTATTTCATTAGTACAAGATTTGTGTAGTTCAAAGAACTTTACACAATATATTTTGTACTCGAAGTGCATTGACAGTAGAGGAAATTGATGGCCTTCGCTCATAACACTCTGGTAATATTTTAGTCAAATAAATTAAAAAGAATAAGAAGAAAAAAATAACTCCGAGAGGGATAACTTTAAAAAAAATCAAATTTATTGACAAGTGCGAAAAAGTCTTTTCCTTTAAAAGCCTTCCCTGTTAATTAGTATAAATAGGTAATTTTATGACAGCGAACTTATATTGCTTGGTGTCTTGAGATATATTTGCTTGGAATTTTGAATTAGAAAAAGACAAGGATTGAAACGGCTGACAAAAAATAATTTTAATGCATAAAAAACAGAATGATTAAGATGCCTAAGATATTTGTAACTACCCACAAGGAAGGGGAATAACAAAGATTTTTAAAGGAACTGAGCTTAGACCTGGGTCACTCACAATGTTGCATTCGGCAGGAACTACTTGGATGGAGAAAAAAAGTAACAAACAAATTTTTAAAATCCTGCATACAATTTTAAACTGTGTTGTTATTGTGCTTGCATGTACATTCGCACTCTGCAATGAGGAAGCAAATAAATAATTTCTCTTTTTTTTCTTGGCAACTTGACAGAACCCTGCTAATAACTGCGCAGGTTTAAGCTTTGCGATTGATAAGAGAGACACTTTACTGATGAGATAAAAGAGATAAGAACCAAGTATTCAGCCCGCATTAAAAATACATAACTTCATAACTAACTCAATGGAATACTCGAAATAATGAGATTATTCACTGTTGTTTAACATTGAAAAAATAAATAAATAATGGAGAGGAAAGCTGTCTGGATTACTAGTGAACAAAACGATGGACGAAAATCGAAGGGCTTAAATAGGGGCATTGATAAAATATTTCTGTCGAATTCGATGGTGTATTTTTATCAAATAAAAATAATTAAGAAAAGAAAAAAAAAGAAAAAAAAGAACTCAAAATATTTAATGATTATCTTAAAACAATAATATTTATTGATAGGGAAAACGAAAAGCTAAAAAATTAGAAAAAATAGTATATGTATGAGATACATAATTAATTAAATCTATTAATAAATGATAATATAATCATATTTTTTTATTTTTTAATCAAAGAATTATACATGCTCGGCAAAACTGAATCAATTTTTTTTTAATTAACTTAATAGTAGCCACCTCCAACATTGTAACCTGTGTTAAAGGCAACGGGATTGAATCTGTAATGAGATTTATCTTGTCTGACAGCTCCCCCAAAGTTTCCGGGAAGATTCCGATGATTTGGTATAACTGGTTGATAAGCGGAGTAAAGGGGGTTATTATAATTGGCTGCCTGATTGCCTCTTGCATTATGAAAACCACCTCGATTGGGAGTGGCTACAGAACCGGGTTTCTTGCCAGCGGCACCACCACCTGCAGGTAACATTTAAAAAAATGGGGGATAAAAAAAAAAAATAATAAAAAAAGCAGCAGCATGGAGAGGTGAGAACATCAGAGGTGGTGAAAGTTCTTAGAAATTGAAAAATAATAAAGAAACGGAGGCACAATCATTAATAGGAGAGAAAAAATTGAAACCCTTAGAATTAACATGATTGAAGAAGTTTAAATAGTTGTAATATGTTCGAGGTGAGAAATTTGAAAATAAAAATAGGTGGGAGTTCAATAATGAGTGCAAATAATACACAGAAACTAAAGAGTCACTGATTATAAGACAATCAGCCTGGATAGGGGAGAATATTAAAATAAGTAAAAAGATTTATTATCTCACATTCAAACTAAAAATATTGCCAGTGCTGAAGCTATCTCTTTCACAATTAAAAAACTAAATGAATGGAATATTTTGAACATTTTTGGGGGTTCTCCAATTCAGGCGAGAGTGGACATTTTATATCAGCTCATCATCAATATTTTCATACCTGACGACTCATAAGATTTGCTCCAGTTATTTTCAAAAATCGAATCTGAGGGAAGCACCTGTGTCATAGTTTCAAGTTGAGTTAAACCCAAAAATGGAAGAGGAAAGTTTCAAGCAGTCCTCTTTTTAACAGATGACACTGAATAATAGAATTACTTCTACTGTACAATAGTTTTTATTTGCTGGTATTTTGATTTTCAAAATTGATTTTAAATTTCCGATATTCCCCACTTTTAATGGTTCAATTTTATTATAAAAGGGTTGCAGTTAGACTAAAAAAATGTAATTTTTGTTGATCAGTTAATGAATGACGATTTTTGTTTTTCTTTTTTTGGATTCACCTACATTACTTAAATATGCTGCATCAATTGAAGCAATGAACACATTAATTAGAAGTAGCAGCATAGTTTTAGATTGATGAAAGCGGAAACTTTCCTACTGCACACAAAAATCTACAACGCTAGGATGATTTTACGCTCGGAATGGGGAACTGAATCCTGCTATCTCATTTTTCCCCCAGGGTAGGTCATGGACCTGGCAACTGAGCTTTTACTTTAAAAAACGTGTAGATTGAGTAAGAGAAATGAATACAGGACTGTTCATCCTTCTTCAATTAAAATTATCTCTTTCAACAAAAAACAAAAGTATCGCTTCATTATCATTGTTTACTTGAACACACATTCAATTGATTTATCTTGAATTGCTAAATTAAATTTGTCAACGATTCTTAAAGGTCCATCACTGGCTCCAATTTTTGCGTTTCAGATTAGGTGACAGCCATTCCCAGTATGATGAATTTATACATCATTTCCATGAAGGGAACATGGAAAGTAGTGGGTTTGAAATAGTATAATAAAGTGAACAATCTAAAAATCATTCTAGAAAATATTGTGACCGAATTTTGAAAATTACTGTGAGCTCTGCCAATTGAAGAAATTTTTAGTGTGAATGTTCGAGTAGGACAAAAAGGACACAAAAATAAACAGTGCCAGAAATAAAAATTAATAAATAAATTAAAAGGTCCTGTGAAAAAGAAAGAAAAAAAAACAGGCAAAATAGTTAAACCTAAAATTTCTTCTTCAGATTTTACTCCTGAAAAACAATAATAAATAAACTGAAGAAAACATGACGGCCAATCTAACTGTAAAAATTCAGAAATCAAGATCAAAATTAGGAAAAAGGTTAAAAAAATATAAATAAACTGGTGATTTTTTCTTCAGACATCGGAGGGCACCTAGATTAGAAAAGAAACAAGGAAAAAATCTGATGAGTCTTGAGTGCTCCGCTGTTTGACTAATAAAATAGAAAATAAATAATTGACCCGAGTCCTGAGAAAATTATGAATGTAAACAACAAAAGGACAAAATGAGGTATTTAAAATTAAAAAATCTTTCACATCAATGTATAAATTAGGCATCAACTTTTAAAAAATAATAATAAACAAAGTGCGTAAACAAATTCGAACCAGTTGGAGCGGATTCAATTGTGAAAAACTTAATACTGATAAAAGTAGTTATTAGTTAAATAAATAAAAAGAAATTCATTAACTGGCTAGAAAAGAGAAAAAAAGCAAGTTTCTTATATTTTCTGAAGAGAGAGGGATTTGCCCACCGTGCAAAAAGCTGGATTTTGGCTAAAAGACAGTAAATTTGTGACGCATCCACTGCAATTATGTTTACATCTACAAGGGTTCCCCCCCCCCTCTAAATTTGCTTTTCCTTCCCCTCAGGAATAATGTTGCCCTGATGTTGAAATACAATTCTTCTGGGAACAGAGGGCCTAACCCTTTATATGATTTAGAGTTCTTCCTTAATGAAAGAATGAAACTTGAATGGCCGTTTGAGTTGAAAATGAGATAAGTTGCGATAGTCAAAACTTTAAGAACGTTTGATGAAAGTAAGATATCAAGGCCCTTGGAAAGTCTTCACTCTAATTACTTCATATAATGATAATAAACACACTGAGTCCAATGTTTGAGAGGGTAAGTGAGTAGAAATAGGAGAGAACGGAAAGAGGAGAAAGGGATAGCTACAGGGAGAAAATAGATGATCAAAATTTCATGAGGATACAGATGAAAGTTGTTGGCAAAAAAGGGAAAGCGAAAAAAAGATCAAAAATATTACTTTTAAAGAAAGGTTTGCATAGTAATAGATCAAGAGAAACAATTGAACAAAATAATAAATAAAAATTATATTCAGTTGGAAACAGCTTGTAGAATCTCGAAATCATCATTCTGAAAGAAGAAAAAATAGATAAATAAAATGTTACATCAATTAAAAGGTAATTTGTCAATTGAATTTAAAAAATTAAAAAATAAATTATTTCCTCGAAGGAGGAGCTAAATAAGTATCAACCCATGAGCACTAAGAATATTACCAATTGCGTCTCTGTACCCTTTCAGCCACAAAAGGCACATGTTTTAAAGACCCCTGTAAGTCCTTTAAACCTGAGAAAAATTAAAATCTATATTGTGCGACACAATGTACCAGAGTTTTGGTTAAAATAAGAATATTGTTATTGTCAGCATGAAGAGAGGCATCAAATGAGTTGGGGAGATTCTTCATAGTCACCAAAATTACTTGATAGGTGGGTACATTTTAGAATGAAAAACGAAAAAGTCTAAGAAGATTCTGAGATGTCTTTGATTCACCAGAGGAAAATGAGATAACATTAAGCCTTACTCCTGAGAACCATGATAGAACATACTTAAATTAACTGCCAACACCAAGGCTTTAGTAATACAATTATTTTCTAGGTCAGTATGTGATGTAATAATAGAACAAATTATCATTTAAGTCATCTTAATCTTAGCAAGCACATAGCAGGGTGTGGGGGACTTTAAGTTCCCCCTAAAAGCAAGAAAAAAGAAGAGGAGGAGAGTGGGGAGAAAAGGATTCCCCTTTCTTTCTAACAACCAAGGTTCCTCTTTCCCCCAAAAAAAATCCAGGCTACAATTCTGAACCTTAGAGTTAATTATTCAGGTGCTACATAACATTGATTTTTTGAGACCTTTGCCACCTTTTAAACGACCTTATGTATGTTTCTGCAACAGAAGATAACGCTACCTGAGGCTCCTTTTCCTACTCCGTAGGTGCTTAATGTAATACCTAGACAACACTTTAAGTACGAACTAAATAAAGATAAAAAAAAAATTGTGCACTGGGGCAAGGGCAGATAGATTGGAGTGAGCCGAGAAGTTCCAAGAAAAAATTAACATACACGTACCACAAATATCATCAGAAGAGATGTTTATTCATAGAAATATACAAAACAATGTCAAAATAACAATTAATTGGATAGTATACAGACTAGAAACGTAAAATTTACATAATTACAAAAACAACATAAAACTACAAAATAGAGGGCAACGCAATGCAAAAAATTTTCACATAGATAGATGCCATTTAGCGACACACTCTGTAATTGATGGAAACTCTCTTGATGAAGGCAAAAAATTGACCCCATTACTATTTGCCATGAGAGTGGTGTGTTTTTTGAGGAATTTTACAAAAAAACTGATCAAGGGGACAACTGCAGTCATGTTCTGAGACTAATTGATCCTGTCACCAGAGCAGCGCAGGGTTCTGATTTCCTGCTCTTGGGCTGTGAAAGGATGTGAAAACCTGATTAAGAGAGACGATGGAATCAAAAAGTTCTGGAACAGCCCATAGTTGTCATCCTGATCAGTCATATCCAGCATTATACAAATCAGCATATCTCTGTTAGAAAATTGTGCTTACAAGCTTTGATATACAATGTATCATAATAAATGTCATTTAATCCAAGATGACAAAACACACCCATTTCCCGCCAAAAACATTCAACGACAATATTAACCGTTCTAAAATTTTAAACTGTTATGAAGGTGAATAGATTATAGATAGAGGTCTAGGGTCGATAGAGATATGATATTATTTTTGAGTAAGTATCTGGGTACTCCTTATTTAGAGGAATGAAAACTCTATTCAAAAAGGCTTTTTGAGATAAGAAAAAGTAAGATGGTAAGTTTGAAAAATCCATTCTCTTTTGCCGTAGTTAGAATTTTGAGGGAAGATGGCTAAATTTATTGTCATGGTTATCATAATTTTTGAAAAAAGATAAATGGGAGAGAGACAATGCGTTTATTTTAAAGCATAAGGCCGAAACTAGACACAGGTATGTTTAAAGCCAGGGTCACACAGGGTGCAGGCTAATACTTCAAATCATTTTAATTGCAGACTCCTTATGACTCCGAACCAGAGAGTAGAACATTTTCGTAGATTAGAGTTGGCTGAAAGAGTTCCTTAAAGAAAAATTGAAGACTTTTGTTTGAAAAGGACCGTTCTCTGTTACAGTATTTCTGAATTTCTACCAACACTTTCTTTTAAGAGGAAAATATTGGATTCTTAAAACTGAGATGACGTTCAATTATGAAAAATATTCAGTTAAATTTCTATCTTTCGAAAAGCATTTTTTTCCTGCGAAAAGTTAATGCATAAGAAAATTCTGAAACATCCTTCAGAGATGCTCATCTCCCACTCAAGCCCTTAATTGCTCTTCACTCGCCGACCAGACTTTCGGAGACATTCAATTAAAATACATTGATGCCTGACAGAACTGCTGTTTTAACATTTACTTGCTGCCTGACAGAATACAGATTACGAGGCAAATTTCTTTAAAGAAATAAAAAATTACGTTAGTTATCGGTATAGGGACTTAAGTGCTTGACTGCAAATGATTAATCATGTCTCAAAATAAACCGAGAGTACCATGAAAGTCAAGAGACGAGCACACATACAACTGAGAGAATAACCCTAAGTTGGTTTTCATTTGTAAAACAGCACATGCGATTAAAAATGGTTGGAGCTGGGTATGACAGAAAGAGAAGTAACAGAAACAGCATGGGAGAATCAGAATCGATACAGGTAGTAATACTAAGTTTTTAGTCACATTATGGTTAAGCCGTCAAACTTGATCAGTGCAGGGCTCATTTTTTCTACTTGCAGGGTTCATTAGTTGTTTATTATTTATGATTTCCTCTACTTATTTTGATTTTTTTTTTTTTTTTTTTNGGGGGGGGGGGGAGAGGAGAAGGATCTTTGTCTGTCAGAGTAATTTAGTGGTTTTGTATAAATGAGCAGCTTTTATTAGGAAAGTCTCAAATGATCATTTGCAGCAGAAATTCAAGTGCAAAAATTCCATTAAGCAAATAAAATTCTATTGCACAACAATCACACTACCTTCCATCAAACTAAAATACATTCAAATCAGACTTTAACATAATTTCTTTCCCAAATCTGTATTATGATATTCCTTTAAGGAATTTCAAGGTTCTTGAGAGAAAAACTTGACACAGTGAAACATAACAAAAATACATAGAGAGAGAACTGATCGAGTTTAAGGAAGAAAAATTTTCCTTGAGAATCTGAGCCTTAAACTAGATTAAGTTTGACAGACTTCACTTTTAGATTTCTTATTTAACAAGGAGACATCGTTAGCTTGAATTTTGTCCATTCGAAGAACTGCCGCCAGGTGTACTAATTTTCTGTTTTAGTTTTTCAACACGAAGCCACTGATTATAGGAGATGTCTACTGCTGCATCAGCCGAAGTCCCATTCAAAAAGTGAGGATGGTGGGTAAAATGATGATTTAGAAGGTGTAAAAAAAGAAAAAAAAGGAAAAAGGAAAAATAAAAATAAATAAATAGAATAAATAAAATAAATAAATCAAAGAAAAAAAATAAAGAGAAGACAGCAAAAAAGGCGAGTGGAGCAAGTTAGCAGCTAGACCTGTTGATCGTTGCATGGAGGAAAACACCAATCCTGACAGCAAAGTGCTGGTAACGAAAAATTTTGGAAACACGGAATCTGGTATAAGGTTGAAGGTAGCACAATACCCTGATTCACTCAAGGGGTATTGGTGAGTTCTGCATCCATCCCAACCTTTTGCAATATTTTGCTCACAGTTGCAAAAAAAGGAGGGGAAAAGTTAAAGCACTGTTATTCGGTCAAAGGTTTCTACTAAATTAATGTTGTAGTGGAAATGGGGTACTCAAGCTTGGGTGACTCTCTGCACTTCCTTCCGATCATTTCGCAAGTGTCCACCTCCACAAAGAACCATTACCAAAGAATAAAAAAAATAATGATAATGAGGTAAGCTGGGAGTAGTTGCTGCCCTTAAAGCTGAATATATTCAGGGCATCAGCAACATTAGCCACACTCATTTTCTTTATACCCGAAGCAGGACTGAGAGCTTTCTGCGAGATAAATCAGTAAAAAGGATTATGCTCAAAAATTTACAATTTTTTCACAGAGGAAAACCTTAAATTGTATTTTCAAAATTAAACTCTTAGTTCAGGACCTTTAAAAAATAAAATAAAATAATAGCATCCTGTCAAAATTTCAATTGCACGAAATCGTTAATTTGGATTCATTTGGAATTGGGCCAGGTAAAACACTTTCGTTCTTCTCAAAACATTCTCCAACTTAATTGATTTTTAATTCTCTTTTGAGTGATGCTTATCATAAGCAATTTTTTTTTCAAAATCCTACATTAAGCCTCTGTTAATACCCACCAAAAGGCTTGAAAGTGGCATTTTTTACAAAAGAAAGAAATCCACCTCTTTGTAAACTAAAGACTTTAAAAATTACCCAGTGGAGGTAAGAAGGCAACTTTAGACGTATGCTGCGTGATGGCTTTTTGGAAAAAGGAGACCAAAATTATGAAATGAAATGCTTTAATTAATATTTTCTTATAAATTCTGTTCGGACAGTTGCAGGTGCAATGATTCAAATCTTGCAGGCTAGAGAGCAAATGAACATTAATTTGGCGAATTCGTTGATTATATTCCTCAGCAAAGTGTATTGTTATGGTGGTAAATTCAAAATAAAATACTTCAGTCAACTGAAATATTGCACATGGAAAATCACCTTCATTGATCCGGTTCATTCTTTAAGGAGGCACCATATTTTTGTCTATGGGTTTTCAAAAAAAGAAATACGCATTTGTGACTATGGGAACTGTCTATTGGAAAAGGAATTTTCAGGAGACACTATTTGTCCGAGTTGGGTCAAAAAATTGGATTTTAAAATTTCTCAAAAAAAATGCTCTGTATTGTAATGTACTATCTTAGACACAGTGTACCTTAAGAAAAATTTCAAGTCCAGGTTAGAGAGAATTAATAAATTTTGATGGATTTTGGGAGGGGGCACCATGTTCCTCCACGATTGAGATGGAATAATTCTTGGAAAATTA